GTACATACCTCCTCACTGCTTCAAAAAGGACAAGTTTTAGATTAGAAAGGAGTTTGTCTGGTGTTGTGTGGCCTTGTCAACACCTGGGATATTCCTGTAATATGGATTAGAAGATCTGGTTAATTCAGTGTCAGCCACATTAAAAAAGTGCAGTCTAGGAGGGTTTACAGGGGCAGCAGTCCAAACACTGTTCTCAGTCATTTTGAGAAGGTTCTGTATTTCCAAAATCCACTCTGTGAGTTCTTGCTCCCTGGGACATTTACACCTGTCTTCTTATCATGTTTCATGTGTTCACATGGACTAGTTTTCTACCGACACGTCTCCAGAAGCACCTGGACTCTGTCCAACATATATCTGTCCTTTACTTCTTCTTTTCATTCTTTCATCTGTGTCTCTCTCCTCTTCTCCTCTCCTCGCTCCATGAATCAGTGGATTCATTCAGATTTAGAAAACTGGGGTCAGGCTTTTTAACACCACCTAAACATACTGTACCTCTCATCTTCTGATCTCAAATATTTCCTCCTGTCTAAAAGTAAACAGTCTATTCTCTAAAATTCTCCATCGAATAAGAAGTAATAATGTTCATTAAAAATGCTAACCATGTTATAATGGTGTTCTGCATCATTTATCTATTTATTTATTTGTTTAAAAAAAAATTTAACCAGTCAATAAATCTGTTAGAATGACAATAATATATTTTAGTTTCAGTCTTGCTGTTTACAATGGCAAAAATATAAATAATTATAATACATCTTTAAACTTTAATTTGGTCCAAGTTGTGTTGATTAGTCTCCTGTCTTGTGCAGAGTGCTCTCTGAGTGAGGACCACAGAGCTGATGTGCTGCTGCTTCTGGATAGATTCAACCACATCAGTTCAGAAGATTTCTCCAAAGTGAAGGATTTCCTGGTGGCTCTGGTCCAGATCCTCGGTGTGGTTGGTCTTGATTCGGTTCAGATTGCTCTGGTGAAGTGTGGTGGAAAACCTGAGATTGAGTTTTACCTGAACACTTATCACGATCTGCCCTCTGTGGTCAGTGCAGTGAGGAAGATCTCACAAAGTCCTGCTTCTCCTGGAAACCTGACCACTGACGCTGTGGAATCTGTTGTGGAAACAATTTTCCACACAGACCAAGGAGATAGACTCAGTGCACCTGATGTTCTGATTGTGATCAGTGACAGGAACTCATCGAGCATAAACAGAGACACTGTCAAGCGTTTTTGGTCATTAAGTGCGAAAGTGTTTATAGTTGGAGTTAAAGGTGCAGATTACAGTGAGTTAAAGGACATTGACATGGATCTTGATAAGCCTGAATTCTACACTGTAAAAGACTTTAGTGGTTTTTCAAACACTTTGAGAGAATTAACTCAGTCTTTTTGTCGTTGGATCAAACAGAAGCTGGGTGAGTTGTTGCCTCGTCTTGCTTCTTTTTCATCTGTGTGTGTGATTGAAGTCACTGCAGCTCTGAGTCTTACTATTAAGAACTTAATGACAATCACAAAATAGAAGAATTAGTAAATAATGAGTTGATCAGTGAGGCTTTACGTGGCTTGAGGTGAGGGTGCCACACACTGGTGTCAGTAGTACAGGTTATGGTGGAGGTTGTAGTAGTATCGTGAGCAGGGCCCGACCAGCCCGATCACTTATTCAAGCCAATACTGAAGTACTGGATTATTAGAAGTAAATGGGTCCATTCAGAACACAAAAAACACAAACACTCAGTAAGTGGGACATGTCATAGCTCATCTGAAATCTCCAACACCTCCAGAATTCATGAATTTCCTATTTAAACATAGTTCTGCAGTAGATTCTTGTGGATATTCACAAAATTCACTTCTATTTTCAGACCAGCCAAAGCCTGAATCTCTGAGTTTCTTCGACATTCAGCCGAGGAGAGCTCGTGTCTCATGGACTTTTAGTGGCAGCAGCGAGGTGTGGGAGTTTAGTCTAGAAACAAAACCTTACACAAAGTTGGTAGCTGTCCCAGGATATGAACGAACTACAGAACTCCTCCACCTGAAGCCAAACACTTCTTACGAAATCTTTATCAGCGCATTCAGGTCTGGATGGAGTGCGTCTGTGACCGGACGTCTAACCACACCGCCAGGTACAGCTCTACATCCTAATTCTCCCTTCTCCTCCTCCCTCTCCCCAGACACCTCCTCCTGCTCCTCACTTGACTTGTCGTGGTTTTGTTTGTGGTTTTCAGACTCGATGCGGTTGAGCGGTGGTCCAGGCCGGTGCTCTGGTTCTCTGGAGGTGCACACAGACCAGTTGTGGAGCTCAGTGTGTGCAGAGGGCTTTGGTCAGACTGAGGCTGAAATAATCTGCAGGGAACTGGATTGTGGAGGAGTGTCTGACCTCCAGGGGGCGCTGATTACAGAGGGATCTGTTGTGGGGAGGTCCTTTCACTGCAGTGGAGCAGAGGCAGCACTGAAGGACTGTGAGAGCTCTGAGACGCTCTGCTCAGCTGCTGCCAACATCACCTGCACAGGTAACACGCCCTCCAACACAGGCCATAACTAAGGAACAACTAAAGGGATTGAGCTAAAATTTAAGATTCTTTCATTTGGTCATTTTAGAAATGTTTAGAATTTTTTTCAGCCAAATCTGAGATGGCTCATAGGGGAGGGCGACTGATTTCATATGGACCGACCCAAATATGTATTGTTTAAAGTTATTTCTTCATTCATTACATTGAATGAAGAAATATGTATTGTTTAAAGTTATTTCTTCATTCATTACATCGAATGAATCATTATTTTCTGTCATGACTCACATTTTATATTCACCGTATATTTTGTTTGTGTCCAGATGATGTTCTGTTGTGGCTCAATGGACATCACTGTTATGGTTTCCTGCATCTGAGACACCAGGACCAATGGAGACCAGTGATGACTTCAGACCAGGATTTGGATTTGGACTTTGGCTCTGCTCTGTGTCAAAACCTGGGCTGTGGTTTGGCAGTTAAATTTTCTTATTTCTCTAATATCGAGCCTTTCTGGTGGCTGGACCCTGAGTGTGTGAAGAGGAGAGTTGTCCTCCGAGACTGTCTCATCTCCAACAAGACCCAGGACAAAAAGAGTCTGTGGCTGATCTGCTCAGGTCTGTACTATATTGTCACATTTCTAAAAATGATTATGTGGATTACATGGTTGACTATAATCCCCCACTATATTTTTCAAACTGCACAATAATCTGATGATTATTTCATGACAGTTTTCTCTCCACAGACTTCTACCCTGGTGTCAAGACGTTGGTCTCCTCAGAGGGAGTTTTTCAGTCCAGGGGGCACAGGGCTCTTGTGAGGTCCGGTGCAGACTTCAGTGTCTCCTGCTTTTTAGATAAACCATTCTACTCTGTTTTTTTCCACCTGCTGGCTCCAAGTGGGAATTACACCCTGCCATCTGTCAATCACTCTGCACACTTCCTGTTCACAGCCTTTGGTCCTGAACACACAGGGAACTACACCTGTGGTTACAGTGAAGATAATTCAAGTGAAATCATGAAGAACGTGACCCTGTACATCGGCCGTGGAGGTATAGTTCTTTAGCTGTTTGAAGATCCTTTGTTTTATGATTATATTTATGTTTAACATCTGTACAGTGGCAGACTCAGACCTGCTCCTGAGAGCCGGGATCCATGTTCTCATCCTGCTCATCTCCACCACTGCACTGTACTTCTACTGCCAGGTAAAACACAGGACAAAAACAAGACCAGACCACAACTCTGATCCAAAGTTCAGAGGTTAGAATCCTGCTCCAACATAAAACAGTATTGATACCACCTCCCACTGATGAATGCTGTTGTTGTGCCTTTGGGCAAGACACTTAGTCCTCCCTCGCCCCCAGTGTCTATGTACAGTGGTGTGTGAATGTTTGTGTGTCTGGGTGTTTCCTTGATGTAACAGTGTCTTGAAGGTGTTAAAGCTCTATACGTGTTTATTTATCTTTTCAATAAGGCAGGAACGACAATAGGGCTAAATAATGACTTCAAAGTTCCTGTATTACACAAAATAGATTCTTGTGAACTTTAAGTCATGTTATAATTAGGGATGTCCTGATCAATTTTTTTTTTTGTCCCTGAGTCCAAGTTTGAGTCATTTGATTTTGAGCATCTGACGATACCGAGTCCTGAACTGATACTTCTATAAAACTTAGCAAAGAATAAGATCCAGGATGTAGGGGAGGGGGAGGGGGGATCAGATTTTGTTGATTTCAATGTGTTAATTTTATTAACTTTTCTAACCATTTGCCATCATTGTTGAAAATCTTGACTTTTCACAGTCTGGTCTTGGAATGTGTAACTTAGTAAATTTAATGAACTGGACACAACAGGAACCAGACCATAACCAGATCAGACCCTGAGACTAGACTCTGCACAATCTAGAGTTTGTATATTTGATATTATATGGAAGCATGTGCATTATATTTTAAACATTTAGGCTCGTCTATGATAGTCAAATAAACCAAAATCTTACCAAATAAAAATGAGATGACATTTATTGTACATAACTCTCTTTGTGCAGCCCCATAGGTCATTCTGTACCTCTAGGACACACGTTAATAACTGTGACATTTACAATGTCCAACTGATTGATAGGACTTCTCAGGAACTTTCATTCTAACAGAATAATGTAGTTTAATACTAAATTCACTTGCAGTAAGACTAGAGTTTAAGACTGTAGTTGTTACATCTGTGCCCACCCCTGATAAGGGCCATGAAGGGACAGAAGTCCCACAACCCCACCTTCTTTGCCAAAAGCCCAGCTCCACTGCGCAACATGCAAACAAACAGCACCGTGCGACGACGCCATCGGCCGCGCAGGTGTGATCACGGGGCACTGAATCCCAGGCAACAGCGCCCGAGCACGACATGGCCTAAAAGTCCCAGCGTGAGTGCGCCTCTAGTACAGCAGGCGCTGGGACAGACAGTTGCGCTGTCTGTGTGTGGTGTGCTGTGTGTCCTGTGTGCGCTGTGTGTTATATATGTATATTATTTATCTGATACCTGATTGGAACATAACACAGTCTCGTGATCGGCTCCGATTTCTGATCACGTGATCAGATCGGGACAATCCTAGTTATAATGCTGCTACCTCATCAAAAACAGACCTGGAGTTGTTTTGATCCATGCATACATATTTGAGTAATCCTTTATTATTAGTCTGTCTACATCACCAAAGCTCAAATTGCTCTGTTCCACCTTGTGATGTCATGAAGTGGTAGGTCTGAAGTTAACAGCTACATTGTGCCTTTGTTTCAGTAGAGATTGGCAGTTCCAGGGCTGAAATTATCCAGGTTATTCTATTGAAGGTGTAGGTTAAAAACACAGTGGAGCACATCCTGTATTATCACATCACAAGGTGGAATAGAGTGTTTTCTTCTTGAGGGAAGAACTCAGCATAAACATGAAAAATGTTAAACATGTGTGAATGAAGCAAAGCACAGCTCCAGGTATGTTTGAAATGAGGAAGCCTAACATAGATCAGAAAATTGCATAATATGGGGCTATTTAAGTACTAAACATGTTTTTATTTAGGCCAAAGCACGGAAACAACGTGGACAACGGCGATCTGCTCATCTCCATCTTCAGTGAAAGGCCAATATGAGCCACGTCTTGGGTTATTATAATATTAATGTTTTCTTCATTGGTGCATTTCACTCTTTCACTATTTTCTTTCCAACCTCCTTTTCATAACTCCAACCCAGCTTCATTCTCACCGTGAGTAGGTTCTCCTCTCCACAGAACTGGCCTGTAACATGGCCTAGGGTTTGTGTTAGTTACATTGTGCCTCTTTAACTTATTCTCTGTTATAATATTGTTTCCACGTCAAAACATCCCTGGAGTTTAGTTTAGTTTCATTCACACATGTCCATCAAAATCTGTGTATCATTCGTTCATTTGTTTTTCAATATAAAACCAAAAATAAAACCATTATGTGTCTCCAAAAGCAAAATTTAACAAACTGACAATTTCTTTTTTTCCTGTTTCGATTTTGTGTTTAAATGAAGAATGGAAAAAACAGATAACGGCTGTTTCCCGTTTCCGTGACTTCCATGACTGCGATGCCGGACTTTCAACCCTAACCCTAAACCAGGACTAAACCAGGTCCAGGACCAGACCGGGACTGAGACCAGGACCAGACCAGGACAAGACCGGGACTGAGATCGGGATCAGACAAGAACTGAGACCAGCTTGAGACCGGGAACAGGACCGGGACTGAGACCAGGACTGAAAAAATTTAGCCCTGGTTTAGTCCTGTTTTAGTCCTGGTTTTGTCCTGGTTTAGTCTGTAAGTGGTGCAAAAGTCCAGCATCGCAGTCATGGGAGTCATGGACACGGGAAACGGCCATTATCCGTTTTTTCCATTCTTCATTTAAACACAAAATCAAAAAATGAAAAAACAAAACATTATCCATTTTTCATTTTGGTTTTAGAGACAAATAATGAGGAAAATTGTTGTTTTTTATTTTTTTTATTTTTGTTTTTATATTGAAAAACGAATGAACGAATGACACACGGATTCATCAAGTCCAAGTCCATCACCCTCTAGAATCTGAAAACCATCAATAACTCGTAGGCAACTATCTGACAATTAACAGCAAATGTTTGTATGTTAAAGTAAAGAGTTACTGAAATATGAAAAAGGAACTCCACATATCTTTAGCCTCTTATAACACGTGAGCCAAACATGCTTCGGATATATGTTGATCTTGTAAAGTTTCATGAGAATTCCTGTTTCAAACTGCTAAATGTTTTCTCTCCTGGTTTGTGGTGAGGGTGAGGTACACACACCTCGTAGTAAATATTTGAAAGGACGACCACAACATTTGACGACAACATTTCATCACAAACCATCCTGAGAAGCCTGTGAAATAAAGACATTATGGGGAAAGATTTAGTTTATGTTCCCATTTTGTGATAAGAGTAAAACACTGTCAGCACTGGATAATCACAGCAGGGCATTTAAAGGTCCAATATTACACAAAATGGACTCTTGTCAACTTTAAGTCATGTTATAATGTGTTTACCTCCTCAAAAACTCCTCAAAATGTGACTGTATATCCATCGTGAAGATTTGTAATAAAACAGGGCTGTCGGTGAATTTGATGTAAATTAAACTTGCTAAATTTGATGAAAATAATCAAAGCCAGCTCTAGATATTGGCCCAACATCAGATTTTCTTGAATTATAACCAGGAATGTTGACTTGTAAATAATGACAAATCTTTTTGTTTGAGATGTTCTAACAATGTGAGAATAAAATGATAAAACTGTTATGTTACTTTATCTCAAATATTCTGTACATAGATTTGTGTTCTTTATGATCTTTTGTTGATTTTGTAGTAAAATGGTTTCAAAGTAAAGTTATTTTAACTGTTTTGAGTGTTAATATTTGCTTCACTTTGTAAGTCTATCAAATGTGTAACGCTGTATTTAAAGGTCCTATATTACACAAAATTATAACAGATCAGAAAACAGTGTAATATGGGCCCTTTAAGATTTATTAAAATGATAAATACAAGAATATACTTTATGGATTAGATTTACCTTGATTCTGAATGAATTAAATCCAGTGTAATTACATGTTTTGTTTTCTAATGATAATGTAAATAAAGTCCTGGAGATCATTTACGTCTGTTGTATTTATTTAAGATGATTTCATAAATGTTTATTGCATGTTATACTGTCCATTTTATGAATTCAACATAATCACATCATTTAAAACCAAACACTGTGTAGTTACATTTAGTCCACACTGTTATTTAGAACTTAAAGTTCCTATATTATGGAAAATTGACTCTTGTGAGCTTTAAGTCATGTTATAATGGGCTGTGTGCACAATAACCACTGGAAACACTCATGCTCATTTTGACACATAATAAATATTACAACAATGCCACAAACCAATATATTCAAAATTAAAAATAGTGTAGTCTTTATTTTAATTAATTAGAATTTCAATAGGTTGTTTATTTTATGTTTTTTTTATTTGAGACACAGTGAGCTAGTGAGTACTTGTAGTTGTGTTTTTTTTCATTCACATATTTGTATTATTCGTCCGTCTACATCTCCAAAGCTCAAAATGTTTGTTCCACCTTGTGATATCATAAAGTGGTAATTTCATGATATTGCATGAAACTACCACTAGTTTTCAAGTTACTTTTTGTTCAGTAGAGATGGGCAATTCATCCAAATGATTCTTGTGAAGGTGTATGAAGTTTAAAAACACAGTGGAGCACTTCCTGTATGGCGGGACGTGACGGGGCATCTGTGGTAATTTATAGAATACAAATTACAGCGGGACACACATAATGCCTGGAAAAGAGAGGCTAAAATTTTTTTTATTATTTACTTAAAATTATTTACTATTTAATTATATTTTCTATTAAAATATTGGTAATTTTCTGCGGTGTTTATCATAGCAGCGTCTCCAGTGTCTCTGTACATGGCCCCTCCCACCAGAGCAGAGTCTCTGTACGTGGCCCCTCCCACCAGAGCAGCACAAATGAAGACTTGTCTCTTTCCAAACGCTCTTAAAGGACGATTGTTTTGACTGTTGACTGTGACAACCTCATCAGCAAAATGTCCAAAATGAGAAAAGTGGAGCCAAGTGCAGGATTTTCCAAGAAAAACTGACTTATTCCTATTTATACAAGTTAATGTTAAAACTTTGTGTTGAAATTACATTTTTCTTAAAGTTTCAGGTTGTTCATAATATTATAATATTTTGTAAAATAAAGAGTTCATCAATTTGCGTTTCTCTGCACAAATATTTGAACTTATTGTTATTTTTGGGGTATAAATGCTATGAGTTTTCTGATCCGGCCCCTTTGGGATCAAAGTAGGTTGGATACAGCCCCCGAACCAAAATGAGTTTGACACCCCTGGTTTAGGGCCTTTTTAAAGCTCAGATTTGAATGTTGAACTGTTCTTCTACTTTTATTGAAATATCTTAAAAGCTGTCCACATTTTATTTTTAATTACAGAAAGTGGTTTGGTGATACTAAATTAGGCATTAAGCTATAATAGCTATTATTTTGTATCAATCATAAGTTATTTCTATGTTACAAGACTTACAGTAATCTTCTGTTGTCTTAACCTATAATAAGGCAGCCTGAAGTTCCACATGTGCACAAAGTGCCCTTATTTTTCACTGAGCAACTGCCCCCCAAAATATCTGTGCACGCCACTGGTCCGAACTGTATATTGCAGATCTACATGCAGATCATGAAAAGGTTTCGACCCAGTCTTTGGGAAACAATGATTTAAAGAGAAACAGTTGTAATTCTACTTTTCAACATCTGTCTGAAGATGATCAAAACAATGCAGTAAAAATGGTAGATTTGCAAGAACAAAAATGCTAAAAGTGCATAATAACTTTTCACAGAATAGTGGTGATAAATAAAAAAGAAAACCTAAAGAGAACCTATTGTGATTGTGTTTACTTTAAATATACACGCACATTTTATAACACATTTTTGATCTAAAAACAACTTAAGTTTGGCGTCCAATTGGAGCTGACATTGCCGTAAACATCATCACAACAAAGAGTCATGCAGGTGTTAAACCCCCCTCCTCCCCATGGATAACTGCACATCACACTAGAGAGCAGCGATTTTTTTATTTTTTCATTTGTATAAAAACGACAACGTGACGCTGAACTAATGAAGCGATGAAAGATTGCTCCAACATCACTCCAAATACAACTTCAGAAGGTAAATGAGAAGGGGAAACTATGACATGGCTAAAAGCTCTGACAAGTCAAGTAAAAAAATATAAATATAAAAATATAATAAAAATAATTCTGTTATGACAATGATGTCATCTTTGATTTTCTATCAAATACCTCACCTACTTCTCCTCAAAATATCAAAATATCTCTACACTCTGGTCTGACTTATGACATTAATGATAATAAAAGAGATACACCAGCTTCATATCATATTATATCTTTCATGGGGAATTTAAAACCACAGAAAGTTGCTCAGAACATCCACACTTCTGATCTGCACTGATGATTAAAATGAGATCAACTGTTAGGTACGTGAGGTAAACTTGTGTTTGCACAACATTTAAGCACCGCTCATCTAAGAACATTTTGGACACATTTAAAATCATACTCATTTTAAAGATGCATTGTGTAACTTTTCTGGTGGAGGGTCTATCAAATGCTTTTCTCCATGGAGACATTATTGTTTTGTGTGGAATGTTTCATAGTATGACATTACACTTTTCTATCTTCATGGAGACCAAACCAGGTCAAGTTACAGGTCAGATCTGTGGAGAGGTGACCCCGTTTACAGTCAGAATGCCCGTTTTTCTCACTATTTTTGAGCTATAAAACCACCGGTAAATGAATAAATGTAAAATGGAGCTGTTTATTGTCTGTGGAACTTTCCAGGCAGAGCAATGACATCTCCATAGAAACAACTGATGACGGACCCCCAAACTAAAAGTTACACAGTGCAACTTTAAAGATTCTCTCCTTTCACTGCAACAACGATCCCCACCCACACAACAACTCAAACCTATTTAAATATTAATAACAACACACCTAAGACACTCTAAAAGAGTTCAACATTTAATAAATTGACTTTTGTCTCCATGGAGATGCAATTTCTTTGCATTTATTTAATTACAGGTGTTTTTATTGACACCTTAAAAACATCACATTCTCGCCTCTCTACAGATCTGGCATGTAACTTGGTCTTGTTTATTTCCAAGGAGACAAACAGGTGATGCTACATGTTTGATGCTTTACTGTGGAACATTCCAGACAAGGCAAAACATCTCCATGGAAACAATCAGGTGATGATGTTTCATTCACATAAGTTTAACTCATAAACCCGCAAACAATAAACACTCTGTTCCACCTTGTGATGTCATGTGGTAATACAGAAAATGCTCCACTGTGTTTTTTAAACTCCACACATCTTTACTACAGTCATTTAGATAATTTCAGCCCTGGAATTTCAATCTCTACTGAACTAAAGCTAAAAGGTAACTTTTAACTTGAAAACTATCACTTCATGACATCACAAGATGGAACAGAGCATTTTGAGATGTAGATGCTTTAGAGATGTAGACAGACTAATAATAAAAGATTACACAAATGTGTGAATGAAACAAAACAACTTCAGGTGTGTTTTTGATGAGGTAACAATGTTTTAATGTAATACAGGACCTTTAAAGAGGGGTATTGTGTAAATTCGGCTTTTTGGAGCTTTCCCACATGTTTTTGTTCCCTCATAAAAAGCATGCATGGAGAGAGTTTCATCCATGCTCTCATTTTCAAACACTCTTCTCCTTCTACTGTAGTCATAAAGTTCCCTGTAGGTGCCAGTGTTTTTGCTCTTTAAACATATTTGCCCCTTCCCCCCATACTGCAGAGTTTACCCCATCACGGAGGCTTCATGCCCCAGCAGACCACATGCACCAGGCCCTGACGGACGGGACTGTGTTTGGCAGTGGTGGAGTGGGTCAAGTCATGTTCAAACACCAGGACCTGCATGCTCAGAGAAATCCCGGTGTTCCCCGTGTTCACATAGCAACCGAGCACTTGTTATTTTAGGCTATTAATTAACCAAATAATTTTATGGCAATAGGCAATAGCCTATTCAATTGATTCAACTTCAAAAACGCTCTGCTTTTAGCCTAATGTGAGAAACGCTACAGTCGAACTAGATACAAACCAGACTCCTGAACCAGCTGGAGCAGCTCCGGTTCAGGCCGGGCTTCAGTGCTTCAGATGAGCTGGAGCGGGGAGTGATGTTAGGAGCCTCGGCCTGAGAAGAGCTTTCTCAGGGAAGAACCAAGTTCTTGGAGGATGGACTGCTCAGGATAATATGTAACCAACCAATTGGATTTGTGCTTCTGTCCAGATGCTTTGCACAACCTCGGAACCAGCCTCAGACCTCGAGCGCGGGAAAACTGGAACAACCCACCTGGATTTGTAATCTACAGTGGATTTTCGCTTTCCCTGCATGGATCCAGCATGGTCTCACTGGCCCCTGTCTGGAACCTGCACATGGAGGATGGACCAATCTGACCAATATGTGTGACTTGAGAGCGAGAGAGAACCCTGAGCCCGGGGAGCAGGGTGTCTGCAAAGCACAATCCGGCGGCGGCTGTGCTGAGTCCCGTGGGGGCGGAGCTCTGCACCAGTCCTTTTGGCTGCGGTTACCCGACAGTCTAAGCGGGCGCACACACAGACACCGACACTCAGTCCTGGTTCAGTCCTGGTCCCTCATGTCACAGGTCACTGTAGGACAGTACTGCAGATATCATGAGCCTATGCAGGTTGTTTTCACCATTGCCAATAGCTCCGGTCTGACATTTAAGTTGTAGCTATTTTATATTTGTTAGACTATCACTGTATCGGGAAAGATCAGCGTCCAGACATGTAATTTCTGTGTCCACAATCAAAGACTTCCCTATCCACACAGTAATGCAAAAACCGCTTGAAACGCTAGTCACATAATGGACTGGTGTCACGTCGTCATGACGTCCAAACTGGAGTTGCATTCTTTTCTGGTTTTGCAGTGATATTTACCAGCCTCTGCACGTTTACCAAACCAAACGCACATCGTGACAAACACAGATGCATTTGTGCACTTTTGTTAGGCAAACTTCAACCAAATGTGGCAGTAGGTCTGTCCTGTAGATCTGCTCTATGCTGTAGACCTGCTTTGTGCCAACACTGTAACACAAATTTAGACTCGTTTTTGCTTCACATTTGGTCTTGCTCTTCTAATCAGCCGCACTGTGGAAGGGGCTTGTGTTCGCTGTAGGAGCGAGAGCGTGAAAAGGCGAGGGGCGGCGTGCTGACGTGAGGCAGATGGACAGGTAGGATGTTTAGGAAGTTTAACCTGCCCTGTGATGCACGCTGGTACACGAGGGCACACGCTGTTGCAGACGAGCCGTGCATAGGGAACGTGTGTATTTGTGATGTGCCGTAGAGTCTCCGCGGGCTGCACTGAGCGCACAGGCTGCCCTGAGACGCTCCACATGCTCCTGCACCCCAGTACAAGTTTATTGCCAACACCAGCGTCCGTAATGAAATATGATCGCACTTGTTGAGTGTCAGACCTTGAGTGAGAGACAAGATCGAGTCCAAACGCAAGTCCGAGACGAGACACGGCGATCTACCCACACGACCTTGGCGATCGACTGGTAGATCGCGATCGACGTATTGAGCACCCCTTGTCTAGCCTCTTTGCGTTTTGGCGGTGAATTAGCCTAAATCGCAGCAGACAGACCTACGTCAGCGTATCAGCGTATTAGTGTTTTCAGGCATCCACACAGTGCCGGATCAGATCCATACTCAGATTAATTCATAAGAGCTAGTGGTACCAGATCATTCCATCTCTGGAGCTGTTTTCAATCAGATTCGTGTGGGCAAACACTGCATCCACAACAAAAATGACTTGAATACGTACGGGTGTGGATGGGGCCTTACTTTTTTATATCTCACATCGGGAGAAGTGGGTGGACGGCGTTCCTCCACGTACCACACCCACTACACCCCTGGTGTTTGGGAAAATAAACTTCTCAAAGTGTCTAAAAGGCAGTAGAGTGTCTGGCTGCATATTTGTTTTGTTTTGTTTAAAATGTTTTGTTTGTTTTAAATGTTCATAAAACCAAATCCTAACCCTAACCATATAATAGCATGTTCTTAAACCTGACCCATATTCTAACCTTAACAATCACCTACTGACTGTTCCTAAATCTAAACTTATAGCATGTTTCCAAACCTATCCTAAATCGTAACTTCAAACAAACTTAGCACCCTAACCCGAAACCTAACCCAAATATTAGCCATAATGTTCATAAACCAAACCATGACCATAAAGTAGCATATTTCTAAACCTAACCCAAATCCTAAACTTAAAGGGGTTTATTATGCAAAATAGAGTTTTCTGAGCTTTCTGCCATGTTATAACATTGCCTGAAGGGGTTTTAGATGTCATCCATGCATGTTTTAATGCATGTTTGACTAATCTAGCAATCTCTCCCTGGCCCTTCAACCCTCCTTACGGTTAGCTGTGCGATTCTGTCCAATGCTCAGGCCACAAGCCTACGTCACCCAAGCTCCCAACTCGACAGTTCTCCATGAATATACAAAAGCATGATGCAATTATGCAATGCAGTACATTATAGATCAGAAAATTGTGTAAATGGGCCTTAAGGATCATCACCACACAGTTATTTTAAAATATCTGTGTGTTTTATGTATTATCTGAAGATGCAAAAAAAAAAAAAGTTTCCCATGTTTTAAAGATAAGTTTTGAATGTCACAAGCAGGAAGTGACATCAGATAAGAACAACACATAACAAGCTCATAGGCGGACCTGGTTTAGACCTGGTTCATTCCTAGTTTGGTCTTGGCTTATTTCTGTTTTACACATGGATTTCGGACGTGTGCTGTTTGTCCTTTTGCTCTGCTACTCTGGTAAAACTTTTATTTTATTCATTTTTACAGGCTACTCATACATATATTTATTAGTTACTTATTAGAATTGTATTTATTGAAATTGTTATCAGGGTGGAGTGGGCTCTGAAATCTGCCGGTAATGCAGCGTTCTATCAGCAATCCACAAGCCCTCTTTTTCATTTGTTAAAAAGAGAGAGAGAGAGTGAGAGAGAGAAAAGGAGTATTTTATAAAAAATATCACATACATTTCTGTATTCTGCTGCATTTAGTTCTTATTTTTTGCCAATAATAATTGGCATATTAGAATAACTTTGTGAGAGCTCATCTGTGTTTAAAACTCTGCATAAACAGCTGGTCTGTTCTTTTACATGTTCTGTTCATTTATTTAAAGTGAAATGTTCCATTCAGTGAATGACTTAGGCCTAAAAATCAGCTGAAGCCAGAGTTAGTGCACTGTCATTTTAAAACCTTTTCACAATAAGATTTGTTCTGCAGTTCATCAATGCAGATTGTTTTATTTTGAAAGTGCCGTGGGAAATGTTTAAATGATGTTAACAGCACCTTGACACTACATACACTGGAGGAACTTTTCTGAGGTTTTGGGGTCATATGAGAGATGTGAGAGGGAGCGCACGGCCGGCGGGAAGAGTAGCTGCAACTGCTCCTTCGGCTGCACTCCTCTCCTGTCAAGAGAAATCTCCTGTGTCTCCCGATTACCACTCCACTGCTGATTGTTATTATTTATTTATTATTGTTAATTATTATTCATATCATAATTAGAAATCTGTAGAGGAGACATAGTGGAGAGACGCACAGATGTTAGACAAGTGAATGAGTTTTTATTATGTTTTTTTAGTGGTGTCAAATTATTAAAAAGAAAAAAAAAAAATCAGATTAATCTGAAATATGATTAATCGTGATTTATCACACTGAGCGCATATTATTTCAACTTTTTAGTTTACATTTTTTTTCAAACAAAAATGATCATATCCTAATTAATTAATTATTTTAAAGTCCAACTGTCAATAATTTAAGTCTAGAAATTGCATTTCATAATGAGTTCGTGTGGTCACATGTTCCAGGTTAATGTAGCTCTACTAAGCAACAGGTTTAGTGGGTAAAAGACTCTTCATTGCCGCTTGCGGTTGTAAGTGGCTCTTATGGTGACAGATACAAAATGTTCGAGTTGTTCTGGCGTCTTCCAGTGTTCTGCAGCAGTTTGGTGAAATATTGAGCCCATTTGACTCGTTTTAGTGCTCACACGTGACCTTTAGTTTTGTCACGGAGCGCGCGCGGGTCCACATCAGCGGAGCGCGCGGAGCAGAGCCGTGGCGCGTGTCTGATCATCAGCGGCTGATGATCTGTGCGCGTTCACGTGAGGACTGAGCAGTGGTGATCCTACACAGTCTGGCGCCTGAAAAAAAAGTGAGGACCAAGGGGGTGGAAATTTGAAAAAGAAACAGACAATGAAGATAAACAGAGAGAATAATGTCCAAGAAAATCTCAAGAAAAAAAAAAACATATAAAATGAACTATATAAAAATGGCTAAAAACTGCATAACTTTTTAACTCTTTAGAAGTTGTTCAGGAACGAAAATTTGTTGCTGTGCATGTACATATTAGGATATGGTAACATTTAGTAAAAGTAGATTTTAAAAGCATCAATCGTCTTTGTCTTCGAGTCACTTCAGATTGGTCTTATGCACATATAGTGTAAGATAATTGTGAATTTTCTTTTCCTTTAGATTAAACATGAATGACCCTGACCTGGCGTGGGTCATTCATGTTAACTATTTAATACTAATCAACAATACACAAATGTACAGTTTTTGAATAATTACGAGACTATGGTTTAATCATTGAAATAAAATGAAGAAAAAATACATTCATAGCTTAGTTAATGTCCAGTTTGATTAATATTAGCTGCATAGCCCGTTTAGCTGCAGAAATCCACTTCTCCCGTCAATCTGGAGTTTTGTCAGTCTGTTAAAAGACTCAGACTTTCTTCTATCTTTGAGAATGTTTTCACCCCAGTGCGCCACAATAATCCACAATCTCTGAAACTCTAAAGTTTGTTGTTTGAGGAGCACAAATGGCCCATGCCATTTGGAGGTGCATGCTGGGACTGTGTGACGACAAAAGCAGGAGCTTTATAATGTCAGTGTTGGTAAAACTGGTGAAAAAAAAAGCAAAATTCTCTAATCCTCCAAACAATAAACAAGGGCTAATAATCTTGCTCTTTTGTGGTTAAAGTGTTCGTATTATTCACAAGAAGAACATTTTGTGTAATGTAGGACATTTAATTTGTCAGTTTATTGTGCCCATGTATACAGTATCAGTTTGTACATAAGTTAGAAAAGTGGACTGGTGGGAAGAAAACAAAACATGTGAAATGTGGTGCTGATCACAGGTTTATCCTGCAGTGTCGTGTTCATGCTGAACACAATCAATGAGTGGTCTAAAATAACTGAGACTCATCTAATCTGTGTGTTTTTCAGGGACTTGGGCTCAGATCACACAGAACCCTCAAACAGGTACATACCTCCTCACTGCTTCAAAAAGGACAAGTTTAGATTAGAAAGGAGTTTGTCTGGTGTTGTGTGGCCTTGTCAACACCTGGGATATTCCTGTAATATGGATTAGAAGATCTGGTTAATTCAGTGTCAGCCACATTAAAAAGGTGCAGTCTAGGAGGGTTTACAGAGGCAGCAGTCCAAACACTGGTTCTCAGTCATTTGAGAAGGTTCTATATTTTTCCAAAATCCACTCTGTGAGTTCTTGCTCCCTGGGACATTTACACCTGTCTTCTTATCATGTTTCATGTGTTCACATGGACTAGTTTTCTACCGACACGTCTCCAGAAGCACCTGGACTCTGTCCAACATGTATCTGTCCTTTGCTTCTTCTTTTTCATTCTTTCATCTGTGTCTCTCTCCTCTTCTCCTCTCCTCGCTCCATGAATCAGTGGATTCATTCAGATTTAGAAAACTGGGGTCAGGCTTTTTAACACCACCTAAACATACTGTGCCTCTCATCTTCTGATTTCAAATATTTCCTCCTGTCTAAAAGTAAACAGTCTATTCTCTAAAATTCTCCATCAAAGAGGAAGTAATAATGTTCATTCAACAATGTTAACAATGTTATAATGGTGTTCTGCATCATTTATCTATTTATTTATTGTTTTTTTTTAACAAGAAGCCAATAAATCTACTACAATTATAATAATATATTTTAGTTCAGTCTTGCTGTTTACAATGACCAAAATATAAAATAATTATGATACATCTTTAAACCTTAATTTAGCCCAAGTTGTGTTGATTAGTCTCCTGTCTTGTGCAGAGTGCTCTCTGAGTGAGGACCACAGAGCTGATGTGCTGCTGTTTCTGGATAGATTCAACCACATCAGTTCAGAAGATTTCTCCAAAGTGAAGGATTTCCTGGTGGCTCTGGTCCAGATCCTCGGTGTGGTTGGTCTTGATTCGGTTCAGATTGCTCTGGTGAAGTGTGGTGGAAAACCTGAGATTGAGTTTTACCTGAACACTTATCACGATCTGCCCTCTGTGGTCAGTGCAGTGAGGAAGATCTCACAAAGTCCTGCTTCTCCTGGAGACCTGACCACTGATGCTGTAGAATCTGCTGTACAAACAATTTTCCACACAGTCCAGGGAGACAGACTAAGTGCACCTAATGTTCTGATTCTGATCAGTGACAGGAACTCATCAGGCATAAACAGAGACACTGTCAAACATTTTTGGTCATTAAGTTCAAAAGTGTTTATAGTTGGAGTTAAAGGTGCAGATTACAGTGAGTTAAAGGACATTGGCATGGGTCTTGATAAAACTGAAGTCTACACTGTAGAAGACTTTAGTGGTTTTCCAAACACTTTGAGAGACTTAACTCACTCTTTTTGTCATTGGATCAAACAGATGCTGGGTGAGTTGTTGTCTCGTCTTGCTCCTTTTTCATCTGTGTGTGTGATTGAAGTCACTGCAGCTCTGAGTTTTACTATTAAGAACTTAATGACAATCACAAAATAGAAGAATTAGTAAATAATTACTTGATCAGTGACAACAATTTGTTGCCCACACTGATTTACCTGGCTTGAGGTGAGGGTGCCACACAAATGTAAAACATTTACATGCAGAGTAATTCTCCATGCAGCATGTTCACTAATTAAACATAGTTCTGCAATAGATTCTTTTGGATATTCACAAAATTCACTTCTATTTTCAGACCTGCCAAAGCCTGAATCTCTCAGTTTCTTTGACATTCAGCCGAGGAGAGCTCGTGTCTCATGGACTTTTAGTGGTAGCTGGGTGTGGGAGTTTGTTGTAGAAACAAAACCTTACACAATGATGGTACATATCCCAGGATACCAACTAACTACAGAGCTCCTCCACCTAAAGCCAAACACCTCTTACGAATTCTCTATCAGTGCACGGGAGTCTGGGCAGAGTATGTCTGTGACCGGATTTCTAACCACACCGCCAGGTACAGCTCTACATCCTAGTTCTCCCTTTTCCTCCTTCCTCTCCCCAGACACCTCCTCCTGCTCCTCACTTGACTTGTCGTGGTTTTGTTTGTGGTTTTCAGACTCGGTGCGGTTGAGCGGTGGTCCAGGCCGGTGCTCTGGTTCTCTGGAGGTGCACACAGACCAGTTGTGGAGCTCAGTGTGTGCAGAGGGCTTTGGTCAGACTGAGGCTGAAATAATCTGCAGGGAACTGGATTGTGGAGGAGTGTCTGACCTCCAGGGGGCGCTGATTACAGAGGGATCTGTTGTGGGGAGGTCCTTTCACTGCAGTGGAGCAGAGGCAGCACTGAAGGACTGTGAGAGCTCTGAGACGCTCTGCTCAGCTGCTGCCAACATCACCTGCACAGGTAACACGCCCTCCATTCTGTTCCAGATTCTTACAGCGTATTTGAAGGAGAAATGATTGATTTCTATGTTATTATGAAATATTATCTTGTCATCAGCTTTTTAAGATGTTTATCTTCAAGATATATCATATACACATGCTGTATTTTAAATGCTTTGAAGCTGTAGACCAGGGGATCAGCTTTCAGTAGCTCTCCACCTCCTTCAAAATACCTCGTCAAGGGATTTCTGAATTATATGTATTGTGCTGAATTAGTCAGATTTGATTTAATTTAATTAAATGTCTTTTAATATTTTAAATGTATAATTTTGATGCCTAACGATGTGCACTATTAAATGGATATAGTTAATATTTTATAGACATCTAACTGTACCCCATCTAAGGTTTGCTTCTTATAATAAGGTTTGGTTCTTATAATGACTCAGTTTATTGTAACCGCTAAAATTAGTAGCTCTGTGGCATTCTTCTTTTGTAAAGGTCACTCATTGACACCATTAAGAGTTCTGGCTCCCACAGACCAGTTAAACACTCCTAATCCTAATGTTTTACTAGTCACCTGTAGAAAAGACACCTGTCCACAGAATCTGTTAATCCATCAGACAGGCAGCTGGGACCACAGCCACTAAGCCACTTAATGCCACAATGGATTAAAATCCTGCAGTGCAAGGTTCCCCTGTTTAAGACGGCACATGTGCAGACCTGAAGTTTGTCAGTGAACACCTGAATGATTTAGAGAGCGACTGGAAAAATACGCTGTGGTCAGATTAGACCAAAATCAAGCTCTTTGGCCTTAACTCAACTCGCCGTGTTTGGAGGAAGAGAAATGCTACCTTTGACCCCAACAGCACCATCCCCATCGTCAAACATGGAGGTGGAAACATTAGGCTTTGTTTGGGGGGTTCTACCAGGGCACAGGACAATACCCTGTCAATGGGAGGATGGACGGAGCCATGTACTGTTAAAATCCTGAGTGACAACCTCCTTCCCTCCACCAGGAAGCTGAAAATGGATCCTCCAAGTTCCCAGGCAATAGCCATAAAACCTTAATGATTTATAGATGATTTGCAAAGAATAGTGGACCAAAATTCCTTGTGATATATGTGCAAACCTGGTCATCAACTACAAGAAACCTCTGATCTCTTTGCTGCAAACAAGGGTTTTAACACCAAATTCTAAGTCTCTTTAGGCTAGAGGGTAAAAATACTTATTTCACTCAATGAAATGGAAATCAGTTTGTATATTTTCTTTAAAGTTATTTTTTGGATTTTCTTTTTAATATTCTATCTCTCAATGTTAAAATAAACCTACCATTAAAATGATAAATTATCCATTTCTTTGTCAGTGGGAAAAGCTACAAAATCAACAAGGGACCAAATACTTATTTCCTCCACTGTATGATTAATTAATTTACATTTATGGATATGAAATTTTGCTAAGATAATGAGATATTAATGATATAAATATGTTTACTTTTCATGTAATGCATTTAAAAAAAAATAAACAGCATGTCTTTAAAAGAAAAGGTGAAATGTGACATAAAGTTGCGTACATATTTGACAAATTCCTTCCAAAAAACATTCCTTTTGGAGGGGATCAGATGCTTGCTGGTTAGTTGGATTACTAGATTATCTCACTGAGATACCTCCGTTTATATGACTGGGGGACAGCACCTCTGACACAGAGGCACAGGGGACTGTACTGTCACCAGTTCTGTTTACCCTGTACATGCTGGACTTTAGACACAACTCAGAGCTGTGTCACATGCAGAAGTACGCTGATGACACAGACATTGTGGGGTGTATCAGAAATGGTGATGAAGGGGAGGAAGCCTCAAGAAGAGGAACACTGTGCGGTTGGATAACCTGGTGAGGAAGCCAGGATCTGTAGCGGTGAAGAACTTGACTCACTCACATCTGTGGAGGAGAAGAAAGCCCTAAACAAACTCCTGTCCATCCTGGAAAACCCCCAGCCCCCCCTGCACAGCACCATCCCCGGACAGGAGAGCACCTTTGGAGACAGGCTCTTGTCCCTGTCCTGCTCCATGGACACTCGGGAAGTTTATTTCACACATCAAACATCTGCACAGCGCATCCCGACAGCTGATGAATGCATGTTTCATTTTTGCTGCCAAAATTGGAAATTCTTTCAGGATCGATAAAGTATCAATCTCTATCTATCTATCTATCTTGCATATTTCTAGAAAGTATCACATTAAATTCACTTTTTTCATTTTTACTTACCAAAACTATGTACATTATGTAATAATGGCATTTAAAACAGCAGAAGTATTTTAATGTGGAGAAAAAAAGACAATTCTTCATGAATGTATAATAAAACTGTGCAATCGTATTATGGCACACATCAAATTAGATTTTAGCAAAGAGCTGCACCAATTTGCAGAGCTATGTAAAATACATTATTTCTATAAAAATGGCACAAAATTAAATATTATTTTATTAAATATAATCCGATCACATTCACACTCTTTTCTTTTACCCAGTACAAAGTCCACAGAATGATTGTGACTTCAAATGTAAAACAGCACAGAGGTTTGCGAGCTGCTCAAATCGATGTCGTATTGTAGATACAACAGAGAAATCTTAGTTACCGAATGTAACTGTAGTTTTGTAGTTTGTGTGCAGCCCTCTACCTGCCGGCCCATCAGGCCTGGTCTCTTTATCCAACTATAAAAGAAGTTCATGGTTTATTTGTCTCCTTATCTGGACTCAGGGGAGACACTCTCTGATAGTGTCAGTGTTCACACACACTGCAGCTGCTCAGAGGAGATGTGTATTGATGATTGATGGATAGATTGAAAAGTATTTAAACTGTCTGTTCACATGAGGCTCGTATGAGGTCCAACGTGGCACATGCAGGGAAAAAGCGCAGAGCAAACAGGTGGACACAGGGAGTGAGCTCTTAAAGAAGACAAATGTTTTTTCCTGGTGTTTACTTATAACATTTCAAGAGGCCCATTTTATTTATTGTTTTAATATTGATTGTTTAAGGTGATTGTTTCTTTATTTATTACAATGAATGAATCATTATTTTCTGTCATGACTCACATTTTATGTATCATATATTTTGTTTGTGTCCAGATGATGTTACGTTGTGGCTCAATGGACGTCTCTGTCATGGTTTCCTGCATCTGAGACACCAGGACGAATGGAGAACAGTGGCGACTTCAGTCCAAGATTTGGACTTGGACTTTGGCTCTGCTCTATGTCAAAAGCTGGGCTGTGGTTTGGCATTTAACATTTCTTATTTCCCTGATATCGAGCCTTTCTGGTGGCTGGACCCTGAGTGTGTGAAGAGGAGAGCTGTCCTCCGAGACTGTCTCATCTCCAACAGGACCCAGGACAAAAATAGTTTGTCCCTAACCTGCTCAGGTCTGTACTATATTGTGACATTTCTAAAAATGTGGATTACATGGTTGACTATAATCCCAGAACTATATTTTTCAAACCGCACAATAATCTGCTGATTATTTCATGACAGTTTTCTCTCCACAGACTTCCTCCCTGGTGTCAAGACGTTGGTCTCCTCAGAGGGAGTTTTTCAGTCCAGGGGGCACAGGGCTCTTGTGAGGTCCGGTGCAGACTTCAGTGTCTCCTGCTTTTTAGATAAACCATTCTACTCTGTTTTTTTCCACCTGCTGGCTCCAAGTGGGAATTACACCCTGCCATCTGTCAATCACTCTGCACACTTCCTGTTCACAGCCTTTGGTCCTGAACACACAGGGAACTACACCTGTGGTTACAGTCTATATGATTCAAGTAAAATCCTAAAGAACGTGACCCTGTACATCAGTCGTGGAGGTATAGTTCTTTAGCTGTTTGAAGATCCTTTGTTTTATGATTATATTTATGTTTAATATCTGTACAGTGGCAGACTCAGACCTGCTCCTGAGAGCCGGGATCCATGTTCTCATCCTGCTCATCTCCACCACTGCACTGTACTTCTACTGCCAGGTAAAACACAGGACAAAAACAAGACCAGACCACAACTCTGATCCAAAGTTCAGAGGTTAGAATCCTGCTCCCACATAAAACAGTATTGATACCACCTCCCACTGATGAATGCTGTTGTTGTGTCCTTTGGGCAAAACACTTAGTCCTCCCTCGCCCCCAGTGTCTATGTACAGTGGTGTGTGAATGTTTGTGTGTCTGGGTGAGTGCTTCCTTGATGTAACAGTGTCTTGAAGGTGTTAAAGCTCTAAACGTGTTTATTTATCTTTTCAATAAGGCGGGAACGACAATAGGGCTAAATAATGACTTCAAAGTTCCTGTATTACACAAAATAGATTCTTACTGAGCTTTAAGCGAGACCTGGAGTTGTGTTTTGATCCAAACACACATGCTTGAATAACCTTTATTATTAGTCTGTCTTTCTATCTGCAAAAATCAAAATACTCCAAAATTCCAAAATTGCATAATATGGAGCATTTAAATTGTATTAAACCAGTACTAAACATGTTTTTATTTAGGCCAAAACACGGAAACAACATGGACAACGGCGATCTGCTCATCTCCATCTTCAGTGAAAGGTGAATATACCATCCTGAGAAGCCTGTGAAATAAAGACGTTATGGGGAAAGATTTAGTTTATGTTCCCATTTTGTGATAAGAGTAAAACACTGTCAGCACTGGATAATCACAGCAGGGCATTTAAAGGTCCAATATTACACAAAATGGACTCTTGTCAACGTTAAGTCATGTTATAATGTGTTTACCTCCTCAAAAACTCCTCAAAATGTGACTGTAAAGCCATTTTGAAGGTTTGTGGTAAAATAGGTGAATTTGTTGTAAATTAAAATTGCAAAATTTGGTGAAAATAATCAAACACAGCTCTAGATATTGGCCCAACATCAAATTTTCTTGAATTATAACCAATAATGACTTGTAAATAATAACAAATCTTGATTGTTTTGTTTGAGATGTTCTAACAATGTGAGACTAAAATGATAAAACTGTTATGTTACTTTATCTCAAATATACTGTACATAGATTGGTGTTGTTTATGACCTTTTGTTGATTTTGTAGTAAAATAGTATCAAAGTAAAGTTACTTTTACGGTTTTGTGTGTTAATATTTGCTTCGATTTGTAAGGTTATCAAATGTGTAACGCTGTATTTAAAGGTCCTATATTACACAAAATTATAACAGATTAAAAAACAGTGTAATATGGGCCCTTTAAGATTTATTAAAATGATAAATACAAGAATATACTTTATGGATTAAATTTACCTTGATTCTGAATTCATTAAATCCAGTGTAATTTCATGTTTTGTTTTCTAATGATAATGTAAATAAAGTCCTGGAGATCATTTACGTCTGTTGTATTTATTTAAGATGATTTCATAAATGTTTATTGCATGTTATACTGTCCATTTTATGAATTCAACATAATCACATAATTTAAAATCAAACTCTGTGTAGTTACATTTAGTCCACACTGTTATTTAGAATTTAAAGCTCCTATATTATGGAAAATTGACTCTTGTGAGCTTTAAGTCATGTTATAATGGGCTGTGTGCACAATAACCACTGGAAACACTCATGCTCATTTTGAGACATAATAAATATTACAACAACGCCACAAACCAAAGTATTCTAAATTTTAAAAATTATTGAGCACACTTTTTTAAAATTTATTAAAATTTTAATAGGTTGTTTATTTTATGTTTTATTACTTGAGACACAGTGAGCTAGCAAGTACTTGCAGTTGTGTTTTGTTTCATTCACATATTTGTATTATTCGTCCGTCTACATCTCCAAAGCTCAAAATGTTCTGTTCCACCTTGTGATGTCATAAAGTGATAGTTTCATGATATTCATTCATGATCACATGAAACTACCACTAGTTTTCAAGTTACCTTTAGTTCAGTAGAGATGGGCAATTTATCCAAATGATTCTAGTGAAGGTGTATGGACTTTAAAAACACAGTGGAGCACTTCCTGTATTACCACATGACATCACAAGGTGGAACATAGTGTTTTGTGTTTGAGAGAAAAACTCAGCCTAAATATGCAGGGTTTGTGTGCTAAACATGTGTGAATGAACACTACATTTTAACACATTGATCAAAATCGTGCTCAATATGGGTCCTTTAAAAGTAGAACTGGGTACAAAAAACGTTGCATGTGTTGCTGCGTTTAAACTGCATTTAGTTTAGTCATTTAGAGTCAAACTAAAATAAGCATAACAGGCTGGCATTGAACTCGAGTCAAGATTTGGACATGGATACCCACTGCTCCTGAAAACTTGCCCCAGCTGCATTGAAGGACGGGTCAAATGCAAAAAACTTACTACACTATATCTGATATTTACTGTCTTAAAACATGAAAAGCAAAACTAGTTCATTTTAAATGATCGTAAATGGTCCAAAGTTATTCCTCACTTACCTTATGCATTCAGAGCATCCTAATTACCGTATTTTTCGGACTATAAATCACACTTTTTTCGTGGTTTGTGTGGTCCTTCGACTTATACTCCAGTACAATTTATATATTAACATTTTCACACAGACAGCTCCAAGAGGCTCTAGTCTTGTGTGTCAGTATCTGCTGCACCTATTACTCCTGTACCACTGTCACTTTACTCTACTGTGCATGTCTCCTGCAGAAAAAGCTGCTGTCCTGCAGCAAGTAGTGAAATATTCAGCTGAAAACGGTAATTGAGAAGCGGAAAGAAAGTTTGGAGTGAGCGAAAAACTTGAAGGACTGGCAGAACGGGGGGATGGAGAAGGGAGGAAGCGCCGTGCAACTTTCCTGGAAGTCACTGGATGGATGAACAAAGCCTGGACTTCAGTGACACCGAAACCATCCTGTCCGGAATCAGAAAAGCCGAAATAATTCTAACTGGAAATGATGCTGAGTCTGACGACAGCTACACAGAAGAGGAAGTGGCGCTCTGTTTACCTCTGGAGGACACGGAGTTGCTCAGAAGTGACACCGAGAATGAAGAATTGAATGGATTTAGTGATTTGGAGTGAGATGGAGAGTTTGGAAAACTTGTTCTGTTCTGTTGTTTATGTTATATTTATCTGAAGAGCTGTTCATATGTGACATTAACAGTCTGTTGTTCTCTGTTCTGTTCTATTGTTATTACTAGAAATTGACTTTCAAGATGAAATGTCGGTTCCTGGTCTCTGATTTTAAAATAAATTTCCCCCAAAAAGCGCAACTTATAGCCCAGTGTGACTTTTTTTTTTTTCTTCTTTCTTTATTACACATTTTTTGGCTGGCTTATACTCTGGAGCGACTTATAGTCCAAAAAATACGGTATTCACTGAAATGACTTTAAAAGCATTTTTCACAATTCTCAGAGCCCAGAGAAATCTAACAACAACTAGCATGCAAACAGTGTACTTCACTGTGCACTACACTGTTACGACACACAGACAGATTTATTTTAATCTCAAGAGCTGCTTAAACAGTCTATCTGTACTGGGGCAAAACAAATACTGTTCAAATACATGAGTAAAATGAGGGTACAGGGCCTTAACTTCTGATATTAATCTTTTGTTTTTAAGTTCTCATACTCCAAGCAAATCGCCGGGCAGCACAAGAAACAACTGAACCACCATCTTGTTTAGTTGTGAGGTTTTACTCTTCTAAACATGCCCACATCAGAAGTTTACTCCACGGGGCCACAACATGCAAACAGTTAGGAAAGAATGCAGAGGTTTTTTTTTGTTTTTTTTTGTCTTAAAACTGGTGTGAAACTGAGCAGGACTGCAGCAGGGGCAAGCAGTACAGATCTTGAGCTGGTAATGAGGTCTGCTGTGAGTGTGGGAGACATTGTCCAGAGAAGTTTAGGAGACCAAAGTGGGTCAGAGGTCACACCAGGGTTATGTTGGAGGAAATGACAGCAGTGGGGGGTATATGAGGTTTTTTTTTAAAGCTTTCTACCGTGTTATAATGTTCCCTCATTAAAAACGTGCCTGAAGTGGTTTTAGCTGTCATCTGTGTTTGAGTATTTTAGCGATCTCTCCCAGGCCCAAATCGACCCCTCCTTACGATGAGCTGTCAGATTCTGTTCAATACTCAGACCACAAGCCTGTTAACGCACAACAGTTCTCCATAAATATACAAAAACATGATACAAAACTGTACACACCAACTTGACAAATCTGATGTGCAGTAGTTTCATTAGCAAGCTGATTGTGTTGTGAAGTGGGAGTGACTTAGAACGGAGATCAAACTTAACTTCTGAGATCAGACAACATCAACAACTTTCGAGATTTTATGGCAAGCTTGAATGCAGGCCATTTAAAGGTCCTATATTACACATGATCTACTCTTGTGAGCGTTAACTCACGTTATAATGTTGTTACCGCCTCAAAACAAGACCATTTGTGTTTTGTTTCATTCACACATATTTGATTGACGTTTATTTGGCCTATAAGGCGCACCGGATTATAAGGCGCAATGTTGAATTCTCTTATCTGTTTTCATAAATAAGTCACACCCAGAGACAACAACAGGCCCCCAAACCTGGAGGGACCCCCAATCAAATTCCCTCAGTGCCACCAATGACCAAGGCCTCAGAGCAATTTGATTTTCTCTCAATATGACATTAAATGAGAGAGGTTTACTTTTAAACAAAAAACACCATCAAAATAGTATCTGATTGTCAAATCTATTTTAACTGTCAAAGCACCCCCCCCCACCCCCCTTCACATAAGAATGGACTCATCAGCTTGACCTTGATTTGAACATAATAATTGCATAATCATATGTAATGGATGTAAACAAAAATGTAATTGTCCTAGCAAAAAAGTAGTAAATCCACCCTAATTCAAATATAGATGTGTGTGTCTCAAGAGCAATGGGGGGAAAACAACAATAAATATAAAAATTATACAATCAAAAAAACAAAACAGCGCATTATAGTGAGGGCTCCAAATTCAAGGTAGCCTAGGGCCCCTAAATTGCTAACTCCGCCACTGGGCACACTGGATTATAAGTACTAAAACACTCTGACAGATTTTTGAGCGCCGTGTACCACATAAAACCAGTTCGAGGTTAGTAAGCACAACTAGAATTAATACATAAAAGGTGCACTGTCTGCTTTTGAGAAAAATTAAAGGATTTTAAGTGCACCTTATAGTCCGAAAAATATGGTAATCCTGTTTTATTAGTCTGTCTGCATTTCCAAAGCTCAGAATGCTCTGTTCCACCATGTGATGTCCACTGGTAGTTTTCAATTTAGCAGCTACCTTTTACCTTTCATTCAGTAGATCAGCAATTGGCCTGAAATCACGCAAATGATTCTAGTGAAGGTGCATGGAGTTTAAAACACAGTTGAACAGAGTATTTTCTGTTTCCATCCTCAATATGCAGGATTTGTGTGTAAAACAACTTCAGGTTTGTTTGTGATGAGGAAAGAACAATATAACATAGATCAGAAAATGGCGTAACATGGGCCCTTTAAAGAGAATAAGTACGATTTCTTTAGTAAACCTCACCACAGTGTCACAATAAATCTATTTTGGATATTTCACATGGCTTCAGAAACACTCATCTAAGAAAGAGCTCATCACATTCTGCGATCTGATGACAGCCAAAAGCAGAGGCACACCTAAACAAACTATGGCATCACAAATAGTCACCATATTTGAAGTAAACCCAGAGACGCCCGCTCCCTTCTCTAACCCAGACTCTCGTGGACTACAGTTGGCACATTTACATTCTGAGGGCAACGATGGCCATGTGTTAGGCTCAGATAAGTGCGACTCCTCCCTGCACAAACATCACAGCAGCTGACGGGGCATCTGTAGTAATCTGAGTGCACTGCAGGTTAAGCAAGACGTGATCGGGGGACAGATAAATATAGAATACGACAAATTATA